AGGCATTCTATCAACATCAGAAACCTGGACACATGACTCTTAAGTCCCCCCAAATCCCTGGAGGCAGTTACTTCAGATAGGGGAGGGGCTCATTCCCACAAATCAGCCTTGGTTTGTAATAGTATGGTCAAAATTATACATTGTAGCATTTTAATCTTAGCCTATCTATCTAGGGACCAGTTTTTCAAACTACTCACAGCACCCGTCTTAACTGACAGATGCCTGGGCTCCTCCTTCTTTTGGAGGGTCCTGGGTACTGACTCATTGGACAGAGTGAGGACTCGACTAGCTTACTGAGTACACCCCATTTGAATTACACTTTGAATTCCCCCTAGAACAGTGGCTCTCAACTTTCCTAATTGTATAACCCTTTGATACAGTTCTTCAGGTCGAGGTGACCCTCCCGACCATAAAAATTACTTTTGTTGCTACTTTGTGACTGTAATTTTGCTACTGCTATGAATTGTAATATAAATGTATCCACTTGCACGTGGTTTTAGGTAATCCCCGAGAAAGGACTTTTGATTACCAAAGGGGTTTCAAGAGCACAAGTTGAGAACCACTGATCTAGATCACGCCCCCGCCCCCACACACACAGAGAAAGGAAAGCGAAAGCGAAGTTGCCATCTAACGAAAGAGACCTCTGTCTTTACCGTCAGTGAGCACACAGCAAAGGGCTTATTACTAAAAGTGGATCCCCATTTACAGTGCTGATCACAAAGGTAGAGCTTTAACATTGTGGGGCCGTTTATCTGAATTGGTTTTTTATAAGTCCACTGTCCGGTCAGACTTTAATCCTGGACACGAGCTGACTTCTTCCTCACAGTCCTGAAAATGTGCCTTTTCAGCCCCCAAGATGGGCTGAAAAAGTGGGTTTTGCCTACAAGGAGGCCCCACTTGATGCCATATTAACCAAAGAGGTCAGACTACATTATTTGGGGTTCTCAAATCCTCAAAGGGGATTTTGAGCCCACCCGTCAGTTCTCACCTGGGCTCCACGGGCGCGGCGAGACCTTCTCCCTTCCAGGAACCTCACAAAATGGCTCTGAGCCTCGTAAGTACCCGGAAGCAGAATGCGCAGTCCGGAGTTCCGCCTTCCAGAAGCCTCACAAAATGGCTCTGAGCCTCCCCAGTTCCCGGATGCAGAAAGCGCTGATTGGAATTCCGTCTACTAAGAACCTCACAAAATGGCTTTAAGCCTCTGAAGTCCCGGGATTTTGAAAGCGCTGAGGTCTTGACCCTTCCAGAACATTCACAAAATGCCCCCAAGTCCCTTAAATCCATGGATATAAAAAGTTCTAAGTGTACTTACCTCTTCCAGAACTCTTCCCCAAAGGGATCTGAGTCCCCCAAGTTCCTGGATACCCAAACTTGGTGTGCTGGCACTGAACTGTCTTAAGTTCCTTGCTGCAGAAGGCACTGAGTGGACTTCACTCTTCCAGGAGCTTTGCAAAATGCCTCTGAGTCCCTAAACTACCAGGAAGTGCCTGTGAAGTAATGGGGAGGAGATCAGTTCCACAAATCAGCACCGAGGAATCTTTTAGCCTCCAGGAACTTCACAAAAGGGCAGTGAGTCATCCAAGTCCCCTGATGCAGATGCGGAAGTTTGGGTACCCACACATTGCTACAACTTTTTTTGGATTTCATGTAAGACCCTTAAAATGATACAATGTAGTTTGATTATCCAGGGTTCTCTATCTAGAATGGGTTTCTAATATCCATAGCCAGCTTCTATCTGGATTCAGAAAATCTCACTGTTCCCTTCTCTCTGGGAAACCGAAAAGGCTCCTATGAGCAGAATCTCCCCACCCCCCTGAGGGAGAGGAAAGGGATCCTTGCAACAAGTCAGTCCAGTTTAAAGAAGTGCATGTCACCCTGGAATAATGATATTATCTGTTGTCTCTTCCAGAGTGGAGTAGCCACATTCCACTGTCAGGTCCTCCTTTCACTCTGCAAGTTAGGCACCCCTCTTTCCCTCTAAGAATGACATTAAATAGTGCTTCTTCAAAGACTTTAGTAATGAAACCAGAAGGGTCCCATTTTTCTATGTTTGCTCCACTGAAATTTAGGCTGACCCTGGACAGGAGACAGAAATCTGTGGGGAGCTACTGTTCTTAAGGAACAATTTTAGTGTACCTTACACTCTCACCTATATTCTCACAATAGCATACAGATTGTCTGTCTCTTGTCCAGGAACCTAAGAAAATGATCCTTCATCTTCTAGTCCGTTACATGTGAATGTGGACTAGTGGGGAGGGAGCTTATTCCTGAAGTTGGTTCTGAGGCATCCCTCAAAAGCAAGGTAATTAAAAAATAATTAGAACTTTCCCAAGTTCTATGATGAGGAAGCACAAACAAGAATCAAGTGAGTGTTTCTCCTGTTAAGTCAGTCCTTTTGGTGGAGGACTGTCTGTCTGGGATGGGGCTTCTACAACCCATCCTCAGGTTTCATCTTGACTGTTAAAAGACCCAGGCTCTCTCCACTCCAGGAATCTTGAAAGCTGTCAACTATTCACAGAATCCTAGGATGGAAAAAGGAGGTGGGGGCTCATGCAAACTATGGGTCACATCCTGATACCAGACTTAGCACAGGGAGTCAGTGACATTAACTTTGGTCCCTTCATGTGGAACAGAAGCTCGGTTGTCCAACCTATACCTTCACCTTAACTTCAGGAAACATTGTCACTCTCCAGTCAAGGAAGCTCAAAACCGGGCTCCCTGCAGACAGAAAGGCTCAGTGGACTATTCCTAGACGGGAGTTCCAGGTTAGTGCCTGGCTTATCAAACATTCAGTTGCATTATTTGGTAGAGCTTTATCTGGACAGGGGCTTCTTCAGGCCACCCTCTAGCTCTCTCCTTTACTCTGAACAGACTCGGGCCCTCAGCACACCATGGACCTTAGAGCTTGGCTCCCACTCCCACAGTCCACAAATGGAGATGGAAGGGAAAGGCACATATGTTCCTCTGAACCCATTTTGTGATGTCTGGAAAACTTGGCTACAACCAGATTGTTTGGTATCACTTTTTGGGAGCTAGAGCTCTCCAGTCTACTGTCAGCTATCTCCTTGATTCTTGCAAGTTCCCAGGCTCTTTCTGTTCCCTAAACCTAAAATTCTGACTTTTGATTAATATCTTCACGTCCCTCAATTCCATGAATTATGAAGCCACACTAAGTGTCCACATTGTCTGAATGTATGCCTAAGTCTACTCTGACTTGACAGAAGTTTTGGAATAAAACATTTCCCACTGCATCCATTAACATATTCCATTGTGTCGCCCACACTATTCTAATGCCAGTGGACTTTGGACATTTCCCTACCTGGGGTTTTCATGTGCAAATATTTTCTTTCTAGAAGTGTGATGTGGAAAGGAGCCCCATCATATCTGTGACAATATTGTTTTAGTCCAGATTCTTTAAATTCCTTCCTGTTCTTTGTATAAGCATTTTTTGCTCAAGAAGGCATTGGAATTCATTTTGTTTTGACTAGTATTTCCTTCCAGAAGTTAGTAAATTTTTTTTTTAATTCCCACCATTCAAGTCAGAGGTCAGAAAGTCCTGAGATAGTGGGACCATACAAAGTACCTAGTATTCCTCTACCCTCACACCCAACAATGCCCTGTGTTGTTTCCCTTCTTCACAGGTCACACTATCAAATATTGTTCCATTTGTTGCATGTTCAACCCTTCTTGCCAGAAGTAATCTCTTATTCCCTGAAGGATTTCTCTACAATGTTTGCAATTTAATCTGTTCAATACAGGATACTTAGAAACAGTGGCAAATATACTAAGTCAATCTACACAATAGAACAGACTGGAGCACAGGTGCAGGAAAATCTCCAATTCTGACAGAAGCCCCCTAAAAGCAGTCACCTATGGACTGTGGTAGAGGATATCTCTTGCTCTCAACAATCACCTTCTCATGCAATTGAAGATTCAGGAAACAGTTCCTGCATCATATTTTTAGAACCACTGTTGCTTCCATGAGTAATGATAGAATTTACATTACCATTCCTGGGGATCCTGTATCCAGCTATTCTTCCAGCAATGGATTCAGGTAAAATCTGTCCCTAGCATTATCTCATCCTTATTTTCTTATAGTCCCAAAACCTGAATGAAAATAAGTGTTTGACAAGTGATTTAGTCTCTATTTTCATTCAGTCTTGATCAAAAAGACATGTCAAAGCAGAAGCAAAGAGACATGTCTGTTCTGGTCACTGCACAGATAAATTCTGCTCAGCTGTTGTAGGGACAAGAACTGTTGAAGGAGTCATGAGAAGGAAGTGGAGGGTCATCACATGTAAAAATCAATGACTATTCATACTTGTCTACATCTGGCACGTTCGGTTGTCATACCTATAACACATTGATGAGAACTTTGCACTCCCCTATTCTATAACACATCAGTCCTCTGCCAACTTTGGAAGACTATGTTGCAGTATGTCCTGTGCTCTTAACTACTTCCTATAGCTGTGTGTTTGGGTGACTCAAAAGGAAGCTGTTATGTACTAAGATCACAGAGCTTCACAACAAGCAGCCAGGTACTGAAAGGATGGGACAACTTCAGTAAATTGTAGTTCCCCTACTTTCTAGAACTTTGGAGGAAGAATAAGGCCATACTCAGCAAACCTTCACTCATGACTTAAAACTGCTCTGAGAGAGTGTTCGGCAGACGAGGAACCCAGTACTTGATTACAGTGCCGATGAGAATCTAGGTAAGTGGTGCTTAATAATCTGGCAGACTTCATGGAATCCAGGCCCCTTAGCTCAACTCCACATGCTTTTTTTACTGCAGCTTTTTTAGGGTAAGAACAAGGTACATCTCTCTAGAAAGGAGAGAACAATCAGTCTTTCATGGGTCCAACATTTACTAAGCAGTTATATTTCCAGGGAACCACACTTACATAAATAAGAGAAATCAGACCTTGCCTGAGAAGAACTCAGAGATTCTGTGTCGGAGCATATTCTGAGAAAGCAGGTATAGCCTTAGGTGACTTCCAGGGGCCTAATGCAAGGTGTGTGGGGGGAGGAAGGCAAATGAAACCAGACACCAGAAAAAAATGTCTAAATCTCTCAAGGAATCAGTGAGGGTGCCATTTACACCGTGTCTTTAATCAAAGAGGCATCCAGGGTAAGATGAGTATAGCTGGAATTCTGTTGGAAAATTCTGGCTGAACCTGTTGGGTCAGGGATAAGGGAGTACAGAGCACTGCAGGACCTTAAAAGTGGAGTCTGCCTGGTTTAAAATCCATTGCTGGTTCCTAAGCACAAGAATGCTTGGCAAGGGAAATGGCTTGGGTATGGGATGAACAAGGGTAGATTTGCAGTCTACAAATTGAAACAGTGTGTATAGGAAGGGTGGAAGGGAGAGATGGAGGCTGGCAGTGTCATCCAGCTTCTCAGAGGGGAGTGCAAAGAACAGATGAAGACTATCCTCAGGAAGTAAGCTAGGAGCCCTTGAGGAAAAACATGTTTTTCCACAGATATTGCAGAGGAAGAGACTTGACTCCTAAAGGCAATGTGCAGGGCTCTGTAAGGAAGAATGGAAACAGAACATGGGGGTTTGAGAGAAATTATTGGTAACAACTGCAGTGTGGAAGACAGAAAAGCTAAGCTTTGTGGTCATATTGGATTGTATCTTGGGGGAAATATTACTTCAATGCCAGCAGGCCATGAGAGTACAGATTTTTTTCTCTTCCCTTAAATATTAAGCCTTAACAAGAAGGGGCTTAATATCTATAACAGGAGCAATTTCAGATAGTAGGGCTTGGAGGAAGGCAGGATAGATTGAGAGTTGTAGCCTTTTAGTATGAGTCCTGCCTAGGGCTGCCTGGATCACAGGAAGAGCCCATGCCTTTGTGCCTTCTGGGGTGGTGGTACGACACTATTCCTCAAGAGACATGATCAAATAATAGGGAACTGAGGATAAATCAAAGTAATTCTACCATCAAAGTCTCCTGTGGTGAACTCATGAGTTTTAATGGAGTTATACACACTTAATCTGAGTTCCTTCATTACAGTTCTGCTGCTGTGATAAAACACCATAACAAAGGCAATTTATAGTAAGAAGGGTTTATTTGGGTTTATGGTTCCAGAGTGCTAAGAATCCATCACCATTATGGTGTAGATGCATGACAGCAGGCAGGCATAGAAACTGAAGTAGCAAGCTGAGAGCTTAAGTCTCGTGCCAGAAGCCAGAAGCCAAGAGAACACACTAGAAACTACCTATGAATTTTGATGTCCTCGGTGACACATTTTCATGAGCAAGGCTACTTTTCCTAAACCTACCAAGTATCTACAATTCTAGACCTACCCAGTATCTACAACTCTAGATTATTCAGATTCCCTAGCATGTAGGAATATCTCATTCAAACTGTCACATTCCTGTCCCTGCACCCCAGAGTCTAAAGGCTATATCAGGCTGAAAAGTACATTTAACTCAACTTCAGAAGATTCATAGTCTTTAACAATCTCAATAGTGTTTAA